TCCAATTACGGCATTGACGTCTGATTTGGATACCCAATTTTGGATGGAATTGACTCAATTATCATGGCGGAGCAAAGCCATGAATGAGAAATTGCTTGGCTCATCGTAATATCCTTCTGTCGTTGACAAAACATCCCCGTAAAACAACATCATAGTCAACATGGGGGCCTCCAAGTGCCTGGCCCTGTCCGTCTGTGCTGAGGTCTGTGTCTTGACGGTCCGGCCCAGTGGAGTGGACTTTCTAGCTTCCCCGCCAGCAACTGAGCCTTGACTGGACTGGGTCGTATTAGCGTTGGCCCCTCCCGTGCCATCGGTGGTCTCCCTGCAGGCGGTATCCAAGCCAAGCAGCAAGGTACTGACCCAGGTGCAGATTTACGCTTCAATCTGTGATGGCAGTTTCCCTCCCACTCTAAGAGGACGTACGTAGTGACAAGGCAAGATCAAGCCCGTGCCGTGCCTGCCCTGCTAGACCGCCAATGCTAAGCTAGAAAACACACCGTTTAGGCAGGGTACCCTGCCTGCACTTGCCTTACCAGCCGGCAAGCACTGCTCGCTCCTGCAAAGCAAGCAACCGTCACGCCAAGATCAAGATTCTGGCTCCCGCCCACTCACCACTTACTCCTGCCTTTAAAGCTACAGCTTCCTCGCCCTTCCTCTTGTTCCACATCAATATCAGCCTTGAGAATTTTTCATTCCAACATCTCAAACATCCTCTCTCCAACAACTCAATCGAGTTTATCTCCCAACCTCCAGCCCCCAGGCCAATCTCACTTCGTCTCACTCTTACACGAGATCGATCACCTTCGTTTGTGCCCTAGTCACATATCAACTACCATCAAGGTAAGTTACTATCTCCTAGTTATTACTCCAGCTACACTATGCATCTTTGCCGGTGCCCTTTTTGCTTGCCCATCAAGTTTGCCTCATTTCGACCTGGTGATTGTGCAATTCGACACCGGAACGCGAGCACTGAATATCGCATTGCGAGGGGTTGAGGGCTACACACTTCTTGTTCTCGACTCTTCCATACCTCTGTGATACATACACGTTCCCTTGCTTTGTCTCACACAAACATCACTCGCGTACCTCAGGAGCAGGCCGCCGGTACTCGCACTTCATTTATTCACGGGTCGCCTCTTCTCCTGCTGGCGGTGATTCACTACCTAACTTCCCCTCGTTTACATCGCTCGCCTAACACGCTCGCGAAACCTACCTTCGTTCACCATCGCCTTCTTACTGTCGCTACAAACTTCGTAAGAAACCTCAACTAATCCACCAATTTGATAACAGATCCTCGATCAATCAAAATCATCAAGATGAAGTCTTCTTTCCTCACCATCTTCGGCCTGGCTGCTGCCGCCGTTGCCCAGAGCTCTGATGATCTCCCCCAGTGTGGTGTAAGTCTAAATCCAAGCAGTGCACAGCTAGAGCATCTCTGACCAAGAACAGCGTACTTGCGCCGGCAACATGGTCAGTGCCGAGAAGTCACAGGAGCTTGGATGTGACTCCGGCGATATTGGCTGCCTATGCACCAACCAGAACTTCATCTACGGTCTCCGTGACTGCTCTGCTGCTATCTGCAACAGTGAGCAGGCCGCCCAGGTCCTGAACTATGGTCTTGAGATTTGCCGCCGTAAGCTTCCCCGGTGCCAAAACGAATCAAGATATCTAACCTTCCACAGGAGCTGGTGTTCAGATCACTACTGGTGCTTCTGGTGAAGTTTCGGCCACGGCTACTGGCTCTGGCGCCGTTCGAACCGTCCTTAGCACCCTTACCTCTGGCGACTCTACCATCACCTCTGCTCTCTCCACCATCAGCGGTACTGCTACTGGCGCTTCCGACGATGTTTCCGTGAGCACCTACACCAGCGTCCTCACCAACTCCGAGGGAGATGAGTTCACCACCACCGGCAAGGCTATCCTCGGCGGTGCAGTTGTCACCACTTTTACCTCTGGCGGCTCTACTATCGTTTCTACCATTGCCTCGGGTGCTGAGTCCGAAACCTCTGGTGCCGAGTCCGCTAAGGTTACCACCTTCACCTCCGATGGCACTGAGATCGTCCGAACTCTCGTCACCGAGACTGCCTCCACCGACTCTGCCGCATCCGCCGAGGTCACCACATTCACCACTGATGGCACTGAGGTTGTCCGAACCCTTACCACCGTTACCAGTGGTTCTGAGTCCGAGTCGGTTTCGGAGACTGTTACTGACGCCTCCACCGCCACCGAGGGTGCTACTGATGCTACTGGTACTGATGCTTCGGCCACCGCCACCAGCACTGACAATGCTGTAAGTTCATACACTCCCATGTTCTGTTGGAAATCTCTAACTTTCATTCAGGCCGCTGCTCAGATGACTGGTGCCCCTGTTGGTGTCATTGCCGCCGCTGGTATTGCCATGCTCCTCCTTTAAATCAGGATGGATGAAAATCTGATGTTTGATGCTTTTACGTTGCACATGTTTGATACATAATTTACGCCTGTACCTCGATCTTTTGGCACCCTTAGCATATTTCCTCGATGCAAGGAGTCGGTCTGCAGGGGAAAATCTTCACATAATGGTGAATGGTATGAATGGACATTCGGGTCAGGTTTTTCGAGGGTTTAATGATGCATACGGCTTATCTCTCCTTTAATGGAAATGACGCGAAATGTTAGAATGGACGGGATCTTGATACTGTTTGTGACAGATGAAGAAGGGGGCGGTGGCGTGGGAGATGACGACGGGAAGCGGCAGACTTGTGCTGCCGTGACACAAGCGCAGCCTGTACATGTCACCTCTCATGGTTACATGGGTTCTGGGATGGTGGTGATACCCGGCCTACGGCCTGACTTCGGAGGTGGACTTTGCTTCTCACATTCATTGGGAAATAATAGATAATCTTCTTCAAAGAATGTGTGCAATTCGTATTCAGTGTCACTTGATGTATTACCATGATATGAAGGTGTTAAAACAAGACAGAATCACATGTCAAGCTGCTCATTTCATATAACAGAGGAGCTTGGAACCTAGTTTGCACTGGTTTTCGATAGGGGAACAGGCCGTAGAGATTCCATAGAGGACCGATATTAGATATTCATGCTTCGTATAATTTATTCAACACAACCAATTTTTTCAAACAGCGCTGCCAGCTCATAAGCGTAGGCAGTTATAACTAAATACATATCCCATTGTAACGCCAGTCAAGTCATCAAGCAACATATATGAACTGTCTAGTCCATCATGGACTTGCCAATCTCACTCTGCCAGTTCTCTGCTCGCTCGAAACCATTAGAGTGGGTTTGGTAATCGAAAAGAGCTTTGGCGACGTCCTCCTTGGAAGTGAGGACAAAAGGACCATATTGGATAACAGGCTGATCAAGGGGGATACCAGCGATGAGGGCTTATCAAGATGTTAGTGTGTATAATTTCCTGGGGTTGAATGTTTTACATACCTAGCCGAGCGGGTTTCGAAGCACCGGCGTCAACCTCAAAGTGAACAACATCTCCCTGCGGCTCAAAGACAATGTTATGGTACTGCTCGACAACACGTCGCTGGTCATCCTTGCCAACGATAACATCTCCCTCAAGAGTGTAGGCAAAAGCGTTCCAGTTTGCGGGGAGAGGTTGGGTAATCTTGCCACCAGGGCGGATCTCAATGTCGAGGAACCAGACGGGTGTGTAGGCGAGATCCTTGACAGAGTCAATGCCGTGGCTCTGGCCAGAAATGACCTTTACGGTGACCTTGTCATCGTCAACCTTGGCGATGGGGATCTCGGAGCCACGGAGGTCGCGATACCGAGGTTCGCAAGCCTTTAGGTCCTTGGGAAGGTCGACCCATAGTTGAAGGCCGACGTTTGCGCTGCCATCCTCGTTTTGTCGGGGCATCTCAGCGTGCACAATGCCTAGGCGATGTTAGTACGATCCTGCTATTTAGGACTAGTAAGTGGTTCATACCTTTTCCAGCAGTCATGAATTGGAGGTCACCGGCGGATAGAGTACCTCTGTTGCCAGCAAAATCCTCATGATCCATGCCACCCTCAAGGAGATATGTGATAGTCTCCTGGCCACGATGAGGATGGTCAGGGAAACCAGCACCAGGCTTCACGGAGAAGTGATCGAGCATGAGAAAAGGAGAAAAGTTGCGGAGCTGAGGAGTGCCAATTGAGCGACGAACACGGGCACCAGCTCCTTCGGACTGCTCAACGGCCAGGAAGACCTTGCGAACAGCTCGGGTGACAGACATTTCTGTGGCGTAAAGGTGTTGTTGTTTGTGCTGAGTGTTGGCCTTGTCGATAGCAGTCAGAGAGGTGAGAGTCCCTAGGAATTCAAAGGTTGAAGCTACTGTGTCCTTGATACGATGTTGGAACAATGCAATAGCTGCTAGAGCAATGAATACTGGTATGAAGATGGAACGAAAAAGGGTCATGACCAGGGAGGGCGGTTGAGAATGGGGATTTATATACTACGGGAGACAAGGTCGGATGAGAAGATGAATTTACAAGCACGACAAATGCAGGGTCCTACGAGTAGAAATAGATAGAATAAGCCGCGGATCGCATTGGATCGAATTGATCCGTGGTGGAGGTTAGAGATGTTTAGTCAATTTTACATCAGCAGCTAAATTGTGGTGGTTTGCTTTGCATGGAACCCATGGACCTAGAATGGAATGGTCCCCAATTGCTAAGGCTGACCAAGGCGATGAATGTCTAATAAGTGGAGATAATGACTAATGGAAGATCTAATATCCGTATTTCCGACTATTGCCTACCCTAAACCTCCGTCTTGGTACCTACCTATCTTGAGCTTTCATCTACGACCTTGTTCACTTCATTGAAGGAAGTTCATTGGAACATGGAAGCGATGCACTCTTTCCATTTGTATTTGGCTGTTTACTTGAACAGAACACGCCGCACTTCTCGCTTTGGAATTTCTCCTCAACATAGAACAACACACTCCAAATATTGACGAATTTCTTAAAACATCGCGACAGTTCTGTGACGATCGTCTCTATTGACAAATGCCAGGACCGGCCACTATTCAGTCGCCCTGGTACGATAACGACAGGCAACTCAAGGACCCGAGACCTCGTTTGGAGTGGGACGAAGTCACAAAATGGGAGGAGGCGAATCTCTGCAACAAGATAACCATATTCGACTTGCCCCTCGAGTGCCCCTTTCCTCTCACCAACAGACGAAATGCTTGCGCCCTGATCGAAAATTTCCTAGACGCCGTCAGATACCACAGGGAACTATTTCCCTACTGGCGCAGGCGCGCCATCAAGTACTTTATCTGGCGTGAAATGTTCGTCATCAGGAACAACGATGAGTGGAAAGATTACAGGAACCACCCCTTGTACAAGCACCGTGACGTGCTCAGGCGCTGGGCGAAGAAGCAATTCCATAATGCAATGGAACTTGCATCTGCTTTGCTGTTTGTCCTCCACGGACTCTATACCAATGACTGGGAGCTTGAGTTCCTCTTGAAGGGGCAGCAGAAACTCATCGATACATACAACATGTGCGATGTCAATATGACGATATGGAACAGGGACAAAATGCTCGACATCCTGTTCATTGAGTGCGAATGGCTCAAAGACACGCTCCTCGAAGCGCACATGAAGGAGAAGAAGGAGATGGATGAAGAGTGGGAGCACAGACAAACAAAGACACTCGAAGAAATGGAGATTTTTATCGATGAGTCACCAGAGCCTATGGAAGAGGACGAGGACGAGGATAATGATAATAATAATAATAATGCTCAAGACAACGCTCAAGACAACGCTCAAGACAACGATCAAGACATCATAGATCTAGGCATCGATCTAGGTATCGATCTAGGCGCCGTTCAGTACGTCGATATATGGGACAATATTGTCTCGAGGGCCCTTGCACACAAATGGGACGATCAAACTTTTGCCCAAGAATTGGAGAAAAAGTATCAAAGGCAGGAAAGGGATCTCCTTCAATGGGATGCCCAATGCTACGCCCAAGGTCCCAGTGATAGTCTCGTTCAAAGTATGGCTCAAATTCTCAAATATGACTTAGAGGACGCTCAGGATTTCGCTCAGCTACGTGCTCAACGCATCGCTCAACGCCGTATTCAGGATAACAACGCAAGGGAAGCTCGAGATATTGTTCAAGAAAGATTTAAGCAACGTAATCGACGTCAGGCTCTAATTTGCGATCAAATCCGAGCCCAACGTCAGGCGCAGGGTCGCACTCGGGATGGCATTCTAAGCCCTCAAAACGAGGATCAAGATATTGCTCAAAATAACGCTCAACGTATCGTTCAATATTTCGATCGGGACACCCTCCAAAATACCATTCAGAATCTGCCACCGGGAAACACTGAAGATAGCGTTCAAGCTTTCATGAAAGGCGCCTATCAAGAGCTTGTCCAAGGCATGGCACGAGACAATACTCAATATCAGCTCACTCAACGTCCCGCTCATCGGACCGTACAGGAGACCGTTCGAGATGCCACTCAAAATACCGCCAAGAAGAATGGTCAACAAGGAACCCAGAACAGCCTCCGGGATTTCACTGCAACGGCGCCTCATCGTCAACGAACAGAGCCGCAGGCTCCTGAAAAGCCAGTCAATACTGCTGTTCCACCTATATACCCACGTCCTACTCTTCCATCGAGGCCAATGGACGACGATGAGGATATATATGGTTATAGTGGGAACGAGGAAGACGACGCTAAAAAGAAACAGTGAAGTCGCCGTTCAGGTTTCCGCACCATGAGGGAGCCCGTCCTTGGAGTAACTTTTGCAAGGCAGTCTTGGTTATATGGCTGGTGCATAGGATCAAGAAGCACCCAAGGATTACATATGGCGCTGAAGTCAATATCAAGCAACAAACGCAGTTCACTCTTGAGAAGGTTATTGATGGCAAAGGAAGTGAATGCCGAGAGAATGATAAGGGACATGCTGATGCAGGCAGCGGTAAGGAGAAATCGTGTATGAGCACAATTACGTTAAGTTTAAGTTCGGGGTAAGGATGGCAAGAGGCCTAGTATTCAGAGGCATAACTACTGAACCTCATTATATCAGCTTTTAACGACACGGGTCCATGTCTAAGAACTAAAGCGTTTCCAACAACACCGCGTCCCCAGTCCAACATAAAAGCTGGAGGATGGGTACATTGTCAACAGTGTAACTTGATAGACCGAAAGAGAATTAACATATGACGAGTATCTAAAGCTCTTCGCCCCTAGCGTCTTCATCATCAATATATCCCATACCGCGAAACAGGCGCAGTGTCTTCGACGCCTGAGGGTCGCAGAGCAATACGTCGTGTTGTTTCAGATACTCAGTGACCTCCTCATACACTTTCTCAGATCCGGCTTTCGGGGTAGACAGTTCAATCTCCATAAGGTGAAGCTCCCCAGCTACTACATCATCCAGCTTTGCTTTGTGCCCCAGTATTCTCAACTTCCACTTGCCATCTGGGAACGGCCCGTAGGATATAAGGCCATCCCAGTCAATGTCGTCGTACTTTTCTGCAAAGCGAACTTGGTCATCGCTCCAGATCTCTTGGGTTGTCTTGTCACTAAGGAGGTACCGCTGGGCACAAGTGAATGGGACGTTGTCGCCGTATCGATCATAGACGCAATGGGCGCCAGGAGGAATGCGCTCTGGTTTCTCATCGAAGCGGACCTTGATGACAGAAAATGGGTTTCCTTTGTTCGTCTTTGTGCGGAACATGACACCTTGTTGCGCATGAGTCGGGGGCATGGTGTCGAAATAGGTGATCGGATGGCGTTTGTAGGGTGGGCGAACTGTTTCCCCTAGTTTCTCGAGGACGGCTTCTCCATCACGATCACATAGTGACCACTGAAGATGTATTTCTTCATCGGTGGCTCGACTCAGAGACGAAGTCACAAACAGCGCAAAAGCAACAAGGTTGTAAAAAATCATATTGATGGAAATCGATTATAGTACAGCACCCAAAAGTAACCATACGACACCTACCGAAGAAAGACAGGTAGAGAGAGATTGGGACTGACGGACGGGAATATAAAGAGGAAAAGCAGCCGCAGTAGCAGTTGTACCACTTGGTATAACCATCTGAGTCACTGAATGTGTGACAAACATCTTTCTGTCTGTGCACACCATTTTGCTTTCGCGACAGTATCAATTACCGCGCATCGTGCAATCAATCCATAATTTTCGCATCTGACCGTGTTGAGGCCTGACGTTGATCGCCGATTGACAGGTCTTCACAACCAATTGAGCTGAAGTAGTTGAGCAGCTGACATTTCGATCCGCATCGAGCCGTCCCTTAGCAGGCGGAGATGTTCCTTCATGTCAGAACTAAAGTGAAACATTGGAAGATCCCCAAGAGAGCTGGCGCAACTACCGCCGCTTGAATTCACGGCGTCCAGCGATGTGATTCGCAAAGCGAGTCCTGAATGTGGGTTGACAAGCTGTTGTAAGACAACAGGTGACCATGATGGTGAAAGCAGTGTTGCTTTGTGAAATGTGAAGGCTATCGTTATATGGACTTTTGACAGTATCCCCCGTAATGCGCTAAGTGGGTTTCGAAATTAGGCCAGTTAAACTTGCAAATCTCAAGATTCGAGAATCTTCAGGCATTGGGAATTGGAGTTGAATATTTCGAGACTGGGATATGGCTTGCGCCACGATGATGCAGGGAAACAAGCCCAGAAGAAAGGCCATGAACTATGGTTATCGGAAACAAGCCGAATTTGAGGGTCTTGCATGTGGTCCAAGATAATCCGAAGAGCCCTTGTAAGTCAGATCAATCAAAACAAGCGGATCTCCGACGCATGAGCACAAGCATGAAGAGGAAGGGAACATGCAAGTTATGTAGGGCTGTTGACTAGCCCGAAATCAGATGCTAGGTGTAGAGGCCCACATTGACCGACGGAAGCTATCGTGCTGGGGTTGAGCTACCACGATCACGATAGGTATAGCGATAACGAAATAACAAAAAGATTTGTTTTCGACATGTGATATTGAGGGGACGAGTGGCCCTAGCCGTGGGGCTCCGTGAGTCGCTCACCAAAGACGCAGAGAAACGGCGTTTCAAGAAAATATGCATCCTGTCGTGACCACGATACGCTGAAATGACGCGGCACAAATTTGGTGAAACCTGAGAGGAAGATTCCCATCGCAGAAGACGAAGAAGGGTCGTGAAGAAAGAATATGGCAATCATGTAAAGTGTGAATGCTTGGCTGGTCACCCTTTGCGCCGACCAACAGTTAGTTGCGCAGAGGGACGTGTGTGCTAGAGAGAGGAATGCTGGCGTTGTTCACTGGTGATCACTTGAAGATCGTGAGATTTTGTATTGCTGGCATGCGTTGCCGAGCTTGCGCAATGAGCCGTTGAATATACTGTCGATCAGGGTTACACAAGCGCATCCGTCTGCTTGATTTGAGACTTTCAAGGGGGCACCCACGTCTAATCATTGATGAATTCATCGCCCATCACTCAGTCATCACTCAACATGTAATTCCTGACATGTGAAAGTGGCTGTAAGTGGGTCGTAGACGACTTCAGTGACAGGGTGCATGCCACGTAGCAGGGGACCCTTGAGGTTTTTGGGTGATCGGTCGATAAGGTAATAGAGCGATTCCGTTAACGTGATGAGGCTATGGAGCAAATGTCGAAAAAGGAATCGAGTTCGTAACCACGAGACGGAGCCGCTTTTCTGGAAGCGACATTTATTCTTTCTTCTCTTGGGATCCGAGGCCGGCAGTCGAGCTCGTGTCTGATATGAGGTTTAACCGCGGCAGCAGCTGTACTGCCTTTCGCCAAGTCGGCAGCAGAATGAGAGGTCTCTTATCAATGCGAATGCTTCACGTGGCGGCTACATCAAGAGTGATGAAAAATGCCCTTCCTACATATACGCGGACTGCTACCCTGTTTCCAAGTAGGTTTAGGGGTGAATAGCTGACAAGCTAAGTGTCTACCACATGGCTGAGACTGGACGAGGCGACGATTGGTTCCTAGCGAAGGGGAGAGGAGGAGTTGCTGATCCGACCTGATCGTTGTTGCTAGGTTGAACGGATAGCTAAGGCTTGATAATGCCCGAGATAAGACATACGGAGTACGGACTGTACAGATGAGGATTGGCCGTGGACCGAGCGCTTGCAGACGCAATGCGAGGGAACACAGACTTGGAAAAGCGTAGTGTTGAAACGCATCATGACGAAGATTGAGTTGTATCTGGTCCTCTATTGCATTGCATTGCGTGGTATTGCACTCCACGGAATTGGCCATTGGCCATTATCTCCGAGGAGAGGCAACGCTTCCACACAGTTCATGTGCCAACTGTCCGAGCCCGCGGACTAAGTTGATAAGCTGGCTGTAGACAGTGGAGATATAAAAGTCTCCGAAGTAATACTGGGTAAGTCTCGTTCACTTGAATGTCATTTCGTTCGGAACACCCAAAAGGAAGACATATTGTTTGCATCAAGAGCTCATTCTTGTGTGATTGGCGCCAAGGATGCGTGGCGTCGATGTAGAATTGCAACAGCTGCACTCCTTGATCTGACCAGAGGGGGATTCCATAGCTCAGGCTCTTTTGTTGGGGAGCTTTGAGTCGAACTGAATCTTGGTGTTGGTTACCTATGTTTGGAGAAAGGGAAACGTTATTGCTTGGAGAGTGGGGGGAGGGGCCACTTTCACATGTCATGGAGATCATTCCTGCCCTGCCTGCAGGGACATTAATGACATTACGCGAGGAGCAGGGGTACGTACCTAATTAATGAGCTCCCGTCTTCCCGGGGCGAGCCATTTGATCGAATGGCTGTTGAGGAAAGAGATGAAACGAGGAATGAACACCCAGAGACAGGGCATGCGGCTGAGTCGAACGATTGCCTATCTTTTGGCTGTGATGGTGTCACAAAGGCCCAACAGCACCCCACCAATGCCTGTACTAACTGATACTGACTGATACCTACCGCTGGGGTCTTTGATGGGGGCTAAAAGAATTGAAAAGCATGTATGTGGCTGAAATGGCATTCGAATAGCCTCAGTCAAAGACTCAGAGGAGATGTAATGGCATCAATCCTCAATATCTTCCTCATCCAATATCAAAAAGGGAGGCTCACAAGAAACAAACTTGAATCAGCCACAAGATAGTAGTGAGTGTCCAAGCCAAGGTCAGTACGTCAAAGTATCCACTCAGCCCAAAATAGCTCTAAAGATACCTTGTCTAGTACAAGCACATGTTTGCGCATTTGCACATGCAAATTGATTGCTCCCGTCCCTAACACTCACTCCTCCAAAATCCTCGCGATGGCAAAAAACAGCTGCACCTTGATATTTGCTGTATCGTAAAGGTGGGTTACTTTCCGGAATTTTCTAGCCCCCTACCTAAGTACTACCTACTGGACAGCACTTACAGCACACCCAAAGCGCATTTATTAACCTAGATAGGCCCTTTCCTCTTCATTTTCCCTTCTTCCTCCGACTTCTTTTACACCAAAAACTGTAGGTACTGAGCTTCCATACTGTGGCGTCCCACCAACATCATCTCCCTCCTCTCCCTCCTCTCACCTCAGACGTAACCCACACACAGATACACTCTCCCCATCTTCCTCGTCCATCCTGTTCCCTTTTATTAGCCTCTGCAGGTCCCCTTCAATTGCGACCATCCCGCTTTCCCACCTTCTTCTCTTCTATTCATCTATCCTACACCATCGCATCCCACCTGAAGCTCCTCTTGGAAAGAAAATAGCCGTTC